AAAGGAGAAATAGGTTGGTGGGGATGGCGCATCTGCTACAGTCCTCTCCTTCAACCGAATTCTGGGTTATATCCTGCTCGAGGCAATTCAACCTTCATTCCCTCCTAGATCTGCTCGCTTATGAGCTAGTTAGAAATCTGAATGCTTACGTTCTTACATACGTCTACTGGCCTCCATGAATCACTGTATATTCAAATGCTAGCCCATGGATATCGGTTGGCTTCTGAGTTTCATCCCTATTCTTCTCGATATAAAAAGGTTGCATGTAGATATCACAGAGTCGAGTAGTTGCTACAGCGGTTGATGTTCAATCGCACTAACATCAAACAGACTATTTCTGTTCTAATTTTTAATTGCTACCTGCCCCCACTAGAGTAAAGTAGAAAGAGAGGCATTGAAAAAAGTGAGCGTAAAAATTTCCCAGCCACTTGCGGTCGGAATGAGGATGAATTCGGTAATGTCGATGGAGGCTCCTTTAGCGTTCCCTCCAGAAGTGCTCTACTCTCTCCAAAGTATTTATATAAGCTTTTCTAGAAAATGAAAAGTGACAATAGAGTGGGAGAGACATGGAAAATGAGCAGAAATAAAAGCAATTTCGGCTCAGCCAAGCTTTTAGCCCCTCCCTTCGCCTTTTAGCGACTATCTTGATCACTCAGAACTAATACTACTATTTGACCACATTATCAAATTAATTGATTAATTATTCATTTCTTTATTTATTTAATGACTTATAATGCCGTTGGAGACGCGCTGCATCCAATGATAGAGATAATCTAAATAGAACGAACGTAAACGATCTGCTGGCAGTACAACCAGTATACTAATAGACATGTTGAAGAAGATAAAAACAACGGTAAAAGAAGGAGATGGCTTGTGCGAGGAGATCCGGTTTTTCTTTCAGTAAGTGGAGTACTATGGATTGGGTAAAAGAACTCTCAAAAAAAGAAAGTTGGTTTGAACTTACTAGAATCGAAAAACTGAGTATTGAGAAAAAATATCAAAGAAATCCTCCTGTTCCCATATGCCTAATGGTTCCTATCATCAGAACAAAGGGAATGTAATGATGCACAGATTCAACTATGTTATGATCCGTTCAACGTCCTACTCGGCAGCTTGAAATGGCATGCATTCATCTGCATCAGTTCCCATTCATCAACAAGGATTCATAGGAAGTTGCCACGACACCGAGCACCGGTTAACCGACCACCTACGTCGAAACTGTCACGGGCAGTACCGATGTAATATGAGCACACGTCAAAAACCACTTTACAACTATGTGAATTCAGCAGGGTACGGAGTCCAATTCTTTACAACAATATGAAATGGGTAGGGAGAAGAAAAGAAAATACCATACTAGACCGCGAACAATATACATAACAGTATGGTTGAAAGTAGAATCATTTAGTGAGTAAGTTATCGGGAAAGAAATCAGTGATAGATCGGAATCAAACCGTGAAAGAAATTGTCGGTGATATTGTCTACAACGCCATTTCCTGTTATTTTGGCCATTTATTTGCTGACTATCTGAATTTTTATCTATCCATCGACTAATCGATTTTTAATCCATTGAATAGCATGGCCTACTCCGGGATGAAGTTTATAATAGCTTATGCTCAGACATACAGAATTATATAAAAGGGTTATCCTTCCAAGTAAAACTGCGAAAGAAAATAAATGAATATCTTTTAAAATAAATATCTGGAAGAAAAACGAGTCGTTCCGTGGAGTCGATCTAAAAGTAGAGAGGGAATGAGTGATTACTGTGAATTCCAGCTGTTATATTTCCAATTTCAATAAAAAAATAAGTAGATGAGTTGTGAAAAGCTTGTCCTTTCCCAGTGGTAGCGCAAAAGATGCGCCATGTATGCTGTCTCTTGTACTTTAATGGCGAATACACTAAAGCTTTTCTTTCGCGTCTACAAGAGTCTTCAGAAGTTAAAGCATTCCCGAACTTATTTGCTTCTCCCCACCCCCTTCCTCCCGCGCCCCTAAACTAATCTACTACTACCTATCTACTTCACTTATCTGGCTCGAAATAGATATGGTCATTGACTCAAGCAGAACTCCAACAGTTGCAGTATCAACTATCTCTACCTTCTTTCTACCTATCATGAACTTTTATCATTCTGACGGTGTAATTTGGTAAAATTGAGCGTATTCACTCAGTGTTGAGGAAAGACTTCATTGACAAATGCTCTCATTGAATTCCAAACTTTGAATGGAAGAAGATAATCGGTAAAGAATCAGTGACGTCAAGTTGCGATCTGAGATATAACGATTTGATAACGAACCACCTTCCTCAAATAAGTTTGGTACCCTAAATCGGTACCATTCCTATAGCCTATGTAAACTCCCACATGCTTCCTTTTTAGGAGAGGACAGAAAAAGTCAATTTAATTCATTTACAAAAGATCACTACGTAGTAAGTCAGAAACGGGGATCGATAAAAAGTAGAGTCGAAATGTCAAAGAGAGATTCTTGCATGTCCCGAGAGATTCAACAGTTAACGAAGTTTTAAAAGAGCATTGGAGGAGCTGGTTGATTGGGAATTTGGAGGGAAATGAAAAAGAAATTCTGTTGGGAACTGGCCTAGCGAAAATCGAACGGAAGGAATTGCAATTGAATTGAAAAACTTCGTTGAATGCGTTGCGTCTGTCGCCGGTTTGGGGTAGTTCGATCAATGGCTATGGCAAGCTGAATACACTATATAAACGGAAATGTGACACCCTCAATGATGACGCCGAGCTACGGCGTGAGCAGTGTAGCTCATCCTGATGGATCTGAAAAGAGTAGACCTCTGACGCCAACTTATAGGCCATTCCAGGCAGGACCTTCTGTGTCCTCGTTGTAGCGTAGATTACTTATTTGGTTTTGCACTCTGCCCGTAAACAGATATTTCTAGAGTATGTCATGGATGATGCGTGAACCAGATATGCGATTCCCTGGGATGAGCCTTCTTTCTTTTCAGCCCTTCCTTCCCAACTATGAACCCTGCGGAACTGCCTTGCAACAAGAAACCATAGCTCTCAACCAAATTGTTCGAAAGGAGCCTATCGGTTGGAAACAATTCAGGGGATAAGATTTGAGAAAAAGCTAAGCGTTTTTGAAAAGGGTGGGACTAACCAATTTGGATGTAGTAACCTATACGTGGTCATAGACCTGATGAACGATCACTACAATTGAACACTGACATTGGTATTGTTAGAGTAAAAAGTATAGAGACACCAAGGGCCATAACTCCTTGGATTACGCTGTAGACTACACTCACCCCTCAAGACCTCATCAAAAGTTCGCCCGTCCAAGTTGTTGAGGGTCTCCTTTTATGGAGGTGAGTATTGTCATGACTCCAGGAGCTTTACCACCATTCCCAAAATTTCCACGAGAAACTGACAAATGGTAGGATATTTTGAGATATGTGTGTGAGCAGTAGATTTCGAGCCAGGACGGAAGGGTTAGCAATATGAAAGCGAACATCAATTCAGGTTTTGGCTCAAAAACGGCACTTTTTTTCGGCCAGTTTGTTTGAAATTACACCATTTTGCTGGCTCCGCCAAACAAAAAACCTGTTTTATTGAAAAAAGTCTAATAAACTAGGCTTTTCCGCATCTCCAGAAAGAAAGTCGTCCAGGTTCCTTGCGACTGTTCTTTCTTCACTTCCCAGGTACCCAAGTAGTAGCCTTGTAGATATCTCCTCTTAAAAAATTGCCCTCTTTTTCAAGACTGACTCGAGAAATTTCATGGTTCCTACAGGTTTTCAGAACCAGAGAGACATTTCGAAAATTTTGTATAGTTATACGTTGGAGTGCTAATTAATCTGTGATCAATAGTTCGAACAATTCTTCAATTCCCATGATACATTAGGCTTGCAAATTTTCAAATAACACGTCCATTTACAATCGTTGAGCTAAGTATCTGGAAAATTACTGGCCAAACAACAAGAAAATAAACTCGTTAAGCTTTCACAGCTGCGTCCAAGTAGCCAGATCTGAACAATGAACAAAAAGCTGTGCTCGGCACATCTTGTCCCCTATTGTCCCCTATTTGTCACCTCAGTCTATTTGTAAACAGTAATCGTCATCCGGTCACGTTTATGCCCCAAAAAAAATGTGTGAGGGTGCCAGGATTATCACATTTATAGAAGAAAAATTTCACAAGTCAAAGGATGAAGGTTAAAGTTTTCCGGTGTTAGTCAGTTAACATTTATAAGGTGCGCCTCGCATTCGCCTTCCAATTTCGCAGTGACGTTTTGAATGCGTATGTGGCCCATACAATAACTAATTGACCGACCTCGGTTTTAGGAAGGACTGGTGGCTTGGGCGGATGTCGATCAGGGGTTCCATCCCTGGACCATACGTGCGAGTTAATACAGACCTTGCCAGTACATCACTTCTCCCTGAACCCAAACTTATCGAAGCTGTTAATCAAATTTTACCCTTAATAGGAAATAACTTCCTAGGAGAGGGCGAAGGTGGTGTAGTTGCAAGTGGCGCACTATCTCACACGCACGGTCAGCGGTTCGAATCCCGGATCGATACCCGCCTAGGCCTACCAAGCCTTCCTTATCTCCGGGGTCCGCTAATTGGTACCAGACTCGTCTGGGAGGATAAAAGCACTGACTTTTACATCGGCTGGCCACCGCAAGTCATTGTATAGGTCACATACGCACTCACTACGCCCCTACGATTCTGAATGGAAGTCAAGTGCGGGGGCGTATCCCTCAGACGGGATTGATTAACGCCAAAAACTTTATCCTTTATTTTTATCCTTTAACTTCCTAAGAAGTAGGTCGCTAGGCAATGGTTTTTGAGGGATTCTATCTTACATCAGGCCTACTGTGCTCTTTGAAAGTTAGCCACTTTCGTTTACTGTATTTCAAAAAAGGGGGAGGGGAGGGAGGGAGGGGGGAAGGGAGAAAAAATTTTTTGTTGCTTACTTCTATGGTTATTTATTATTTGGAGACGAATTACTATTTTTTCAATTCTTAGCATATTTATTTTGAATTATAACAACACGTAATTTACATCACTACAATGCATGCTGGCAGTATTAATTCAGAGCGATGGGAAATCTACAGAAGGATTAGTTATAAGTTTACATATTTCGCAACAATACCGTATTCACATGTGCCTACAGTACCACGGAACGGTAATTTAGGGCAATTGAAAGGTCACAAAAATTTAATAATAAGTCTGGGCATTCTAGAGCAAGAATTCTATGAAAAATTGTATTTTCGAGATCCCAAGGGAAAGGTTAAAATGACATCAAATTCGTGACAAATCGGGTAAAGGCAGCAGCGGCTCCTGCGTCACGGCTTCCGAGTCACGTTTGGCCTCTGAGTCGTCAACGGAACTCGCTGATGATAAGCGTCGAAATGTGTAGCACAGTAGAACTCGCTTTTCAGATTACAGTATCCCCACTGCAGTTGAAGATTTCTATGATCATACCGCTCGATCACACAGCTACCCAGCTTCAAATCGCAATGACATCCCCAATTCCTGAAAACAAGGTGTAGGAAGGATTTCAAGAGAGTTAGTACCAGATCTTAGGTAAAATTTTAGGAAGACTGGAGAATTTACCGGAAATTTGGGAATTCAAAAATGAGAAAGTAGTTTACTCACGTCCACCTGAAGTGAGGAGCTAGTATGCACCAGTCGGTCGGCTCCCTCAATGAATAGCAGTGGTTATGACGATTGCACGGTTGAAAACTAGAATGTTAAACTAATCGCATTAATGATAAATTGATCAGTGGTATCCACAAACGAGGTTCAAGACGCAGAGAGGGGAGGTTGCTTTGAAGAAAAGTTCACGATAATTCTGAGGTACGTTTTTAAATTTGAAAAGCGGAAGTATTGGTGCAGAATAGTGGTCAGTGGCGAAGTAAGCGAGAAATTCTATCGTCTTGACGGATTGCAAGGCTTCTTGAAAGCAATAAAAATCGAGGTCGTGCAAGAATACCACGACGGAAATGACATGGGAGTGGAGTATTCGGACGAGGTTACAGTTGTTGAATCAATGAAATAATGAAACATACTGTCCATTAGTGGCTACGAATCTGGCTCCGTGGCAATTGAAGTGAGAATCATTGGCGTAATGAGGTCCTCCAACACAGCGTCGATCCTGGGTCAAGTGCTGAAAATGCGCTCGCAATGGAAAAACGTTTCATTATCCTGACCTCCTCATATTTTCGATTCCACATTGTTTTTTGGCTCTATATCAAGTTTCGAAGAATAAGTGGTGGCATGTTAAAAAGCCAACACCTTAAGCAAAATCGAATGATCAAGTTCTACAGCGACACCAGCTCAATGTCCGTGTCCCCAAAATCGACATCGACTTCCATCATCGAGCTTACTATCACTAACGGATGATCTGGGCCAACGAATCCATTTTGATATTTCTCAGACCCGCTGGCGGCTACAATGCTCATGCAGCCTGAGTTCAAGCCAGGGCTTTTACCCTCCCAGATGAGTCTGGTACCAGTTAATTAGCATTGGGAGGACAGAAGACCTGCCCGGTCTGAGCGAATATCAGAATAGATTCGTTGGCTCAGATCATCTGATCGTGATAGCGAGTTAGCACTACACCTCCACCTCCTCGCTATACATAGAAGGCAGTGACCGATTCGGACACGTACGCATTCGAACGCCACAAAGATTTCGAATGAAAGTCGAATGCGTGGCGCATCCAAGAAAAGGGTTGATAATCACCAGTAATTTCGTCTTTCAGCTTTTATTACAGATTTAAAAGTTCGCTGTTTGCTCTCATAAATATGAAGGAAGCTTTCAAACTGACCTCACGAGGTGGTGGATGTCGGAATCTTACTTTATTTTCTTCAGTCAATTGGGAGTAAGCTGACGAGAGAAAAGCTGAGGCGATTAGTGCAAAAACAGTATCGAAGAATACCATGTTATTTTCGATGACCTTCAGCCGAACTGCCTAGGATCAGCCAAAGAAAAAATGACTGGACGAAGCATTTGGTTGGGCGAAGCACTACATCTCAAATGCATGCTTCCCCTGGTGTTGATCGACATTAGGGAAGACGGAGCTTCCTCATTGACTCGGGATCAACAAACTGAGGTCTAGCGATCTATGCGAGAGTTTTCATATTGGATGAGAAATAGTTTTGACGATTTTGATATTCTACGACGAGCCAGGTACAAATATGTAATCACTCCCGAGACGGCTTCTTTCCTACCTACTTAACCATGTCATCTTCGCTTCTGCGACGGATGTCGCAATTAATTCCGTGGCTTACCAAAGACCGAACCAGATTCATCTTTATAGAAGATCCAGCCTTGACTGTGTGTAGAACTGTTGTGTTGAAGGAATGAGTATGACTATACGTGGACGTGACAAACAAACTTATAAACAGATGTACATGGGCAATTAGAACGACGAAATTGAGATCAGCAGTGTATGAATTAAAAGAACAGTGTTCCCAGGATGGATGCACCCTATACAAGCTCCCGATACAAGCGTACGTGCACTGAAAACACAGATTGCACTCTTGGTCCTTCTCCCATCAGGCTGCCTCCTATGGCTTCGAGATTTTAGCAGTGCTTCCCGAGCTGACCGCAGGTTGAACACTCCGGCTTATGAGGGCTCCCTCGAAATCCGAAGACTACTATAAGGCACATTTATACTATTGTTTTTGGTGTATGTATACCCAGGAGTAGCTCTGCAGGTTCTGACCTTGGCTTACGCAGCTAGCCAAGTTCTTGCGAAGAGAGTCAGGGGCTCCTTTGTTAAAAACGACCCCGGGACGCCTGTTCAGTGATTTCCATTCCTTACCAACTGATCAGAGAATGGAAAAGATGCATGGATCGGAAACGCCAGCAATTGAAAAGTTGGGTGGAAAAATTCAGATAGAGTCTTCCTAAAAGTTAGAGACGAATTGCGATATCGCAGTGCCGGAGGCCCTTGGTAATCAGGAAAATGTGTTAAGCATGGGCGTGGTTCTATTCCTATATTTAACTGTTGTTGTTTGTTAAGTGTAATCAATCGATAACGATCGATATAACCTAACGATTTCTCTTTACTACTATGTCAACAGATAAATAACGATAAAAAGTTTTATTGCGTTGATAAATTCAGCGAATCGTTTTCTTCAAGATTTCAGCAGTGAACTGAAAGTTTGTTGATTACTAAATGTCATTTCGAATCGCAGATGAAGTAGTACTTTGAAGATAAAACCAGTGTAGCCTGTAGAAATAGTTGGGTTTGGTGGTTCGAGGCTCTTACAGGTATTCGTTTGCTGACAGCAGCACCTTACTTAGTAGTGTGAGGCCCTACAATGGAANGGGGGGGAGGGCTGTCATTGAGGCTCTTGATTGTTACAAGGACCTGACACTTTTCTTAGCTAAGGATCAGGTGATAGGGTTGCACCAGAATGGACGGTCTTTTCTTACTTCACTTACTGCCAGTCGTCAGGCGGTTGTCTGAGGTTGCACCACGAGATCTAATGCTTTAGCATGGGCCTTAGTACGATAGTAGTATCTCTCTGCATATGGTAGAAATAACCAGTTCAACCTTACCTAACCAATCTTTGACTTCTTCCTTGCCTTTGGTCTCCCTGGAGGTCTGCCGAAGCCAAATTTAACTTCAAAATATGGCTTTGGAACTTTAAAAAGACTGCAAAAATATCAGGTTGACGCTTCTATTTATATTGGCATGAATAATAAATTCTGATATGTGTTTATACTACATAAATGATTTTATTTACCTGAAGCGTTTTCTGCGAGCGGGTGGAACAGTGACCATCTGCAAATGATCCGTCGGTGTTTTCTTCACGATTCTGGAAATGAATGAAGCAATCCCGTAAACATAACATTGGAGAGATTAATGAGAGAGACATACCGCCTAGTTTGTGCCTAGGAAGGCTGTGGCATTCCTGGTTAAATCCCCGATTGGGAAACGTTTTTGTCTTTGAACCTATCCTTTCTGGGTGATGCGCTGACCATAATGCTAGGAAGACCCCCAAAACAATCTCTCGGCCCCCGCGATAACATACACACCGGCGAAAACAATGGCGAAAACAGCTGGTCACTTGGTCATACTGACCAATCCAGGCCTCTGCATGAGGAGGACGGATGAATGCGTTGGAAAGAGCCTTTGGGCATTGTTCAATCCCCTTAGAGGGAAGCGCTACGCGTTCGGCTTCCATTCAGGATCGTAGTGGCGTATTGGATGCGTATGTAGCCTACACCGTGACATGCGGTGGACAGCCGATGTACGAGACAGTGCATTTACCCTCCCAGACGAGTATGGTACCAATTAATCGATCCCTGAGGGGATGGAAGTCTTGGTTGCCTAGGAGTGGATCGATCGAAGATTCAAACCCGTCACTATGCATGTGTGAAGTGTGCCCCATGCCACTACACCATCTCCTCGCGAATGATGGGTCAGCCCACAATGATTGGACTCAATACCGCCTTAGCCTTATACTGAAATGGTATATAGCCAAAAAGCGACATGTAATCAGGCTAGTGCTCCATCTTCTTCTTCACTGCAGGATCCGATCACAGAGATTTTTCTTGTAAAGATCCTGTTCAATCAACCGCCCTTTTCCCCTTCTAGAATTACGCACTCCAAGCATCATCTTTATGGAGCTGTCCAGGGTAATCAACTGTCAGACAGGACAGAATAGCGAGGAGAAAAAAAAGAACGGAAAAGACGTACCGAGTACGACGCAGCGGCAGTCCTTCAGCCAGGATACAGCTGCAATAGAGTTAAAATTTTCGAGGATAAACCGTAATATCGAATTCAGATAAAAATCAGTTCTGCAAAGTCAAGAGCAGCATTTTACTAGGTCACAATGCAAAACGTTTGTTATTCTGATCTAATACAAGTTCCACGAATCGTCGATGTGGCCACTCTGACCGTACTACGCACTTCCTTTTCATGGCACATAATTGCGGTTCGGGAATAGTACAACAACACCTTCCAAATTCGGCTGCTTTAGACTAGAGCCCTTCCGTTCAAATGGAAGCTTCCAGGATCCTGACCTCAGCATCAAAGCGGTGGGTGCTGTATTCCAGTTCCGGTACGGCTACTGCTGGTGCGCACCCACCTATGCACTTATGGAAGCTGGTAAAAAAATAGCCATAGGAAACGAAAGGGATTAGTGGAGAGTGATGTAAGGCAGGGATGTCTAAAGTGGGATAAGCGTGATTGGTCTTCAAGAATGAGGGTTCACTAGCAGTAGAAGTAATAATGACATACCTGGAAATCAAAGCGCACACGGTAACAACGAGTAAAGCAACCTTCACCATCGTCTTTCGTGCAGTTTTTACCTGAAAACTGCTTTAAGAGTACGAGGTTATTGTTCCCAGTCGCATCGTAGAGCGGTCATCAGAAGGTTCACAAAAGATGTCCAGCTCTCCAACTGAGGCCACGAAGAGAATGAGCTCTGTTGGTTAGAGCTAATACATATTAGGTGAGTAAAATACAGAGACAGGGGTGAGAAGACAAGAAGCAGAGGCTTTCCTTGTAAACTGAGAGATCGCTGTCACCGTAGAACTGGGGAGTCGATTAAACCTAACTAGGCATTATTTTTAACCGGGTAGGCGATCACTGTCGTGAGAACGGATTCAGGTTCATGAGCAACTCAGTTCCTTCCTTACCCGAATAAATCTACGGGAACATCCATGACAGCTTTGAGAAGCGGTAGATAAGAAAAGAATTTGGAGTAGCAGAGACTTGAAACCAATTGGTGTTAAAAGAGAAAATGCTTCAGGACTCTTTTTTTTGAAACTTTGTGGATGGTTCTGACAGAAGGGTGCTTGAAGAGGTGGTTAGGGAATAAAACCAAGTCTTCGTTCGTTGGGGTATAAAATGCTGATACGCTAATATATGTAGAATGCTATAATGTGCTGTAATGTAATGTATTTATTCTGTAGCACACGTTGAAAGCATATGCTGATCATAATGTGAGTTTTAAAGGAACCAGAACTAAATGTATTGCTGTATTCACCACCCACCACTTTAGAGCTCAATGGACGAACAATTGATTTCCATTTTTCAAACACTACTTGACCAGTAGAGTCAAAACTTGAACAGCCTAAAAAATTCCTCAAAAGTTCCGAAAACGTGCTAAGAAACATCTTTCAAGATAAGCATATACGGTTCTCGTTGTTGCCCTATAACTTCAGTATATATCTCTTACTTGAGTGGGACTTCTTCTCAGTATGCTTCATCACCCTTGATTCTTTTTCATATCTGGG